AATGATCTGCTGTGCCTGGCTGACTTTGTTCGGGTCCATTTTCGTTCGTATTTGTAGTTATTACAAACGAACCTCAAAGAAGTACCAATGGTAACTGACTATTTTTGAAAAAAGTGTGAAGAAGCATTTCTGGTGACCCACTATTTTCTCTTTTAATGGACCATTGATCACATTAGATCGATCATCCCTTTAAAAGACAGTCTGAGATTATCGACTAACCATTGGTTAGCCTGCATTCTAGCTGAACTCTTACCTTTTTTTGTCTAACTAAACACTGCCTTAGCTGTCTAGTGGCAGGTTCCATATCAGCCCACTCTTTGATAAAGTCAGGTTCCTTTTATCAAATAGCTCCTTCATGATCATCCAGACTTGATCGGTCAATACGAACGACCGGGTCGTGCTCAAATCGGTCTCAGTGAAAAATCCGGTAATCGATATCTTTTCTGTTTTGATTTCCCTGTCCTGAAACTTTAAGAACAGTTTTAATTTTATGGGATAATCTATAGTAGTGGTTTTCAATAGTTCATGTCGACTTTCTAGCTCATCGGAAAAAAGACGTATGAAATTCATGAAAGCAAATTCACGTCCATCGGAGTCGTGCAGCTTGGCTTGATACATTGACAAAATCTCTTGTTCTCCTGTGATTACCTTACTTCCAAAATCTATGCTCGTGATATTCGCCCGAGACATCATTACATTCAAATGGATTTCCAGCATTCCGATTTCTACGGTTCTGTTGAAGTACCTATCGTTCTCATCGGCCACCCTGAGCTCAACCAGCTTTATCCCTTTGTGTTCAGCATAGGTTACCGTATCCCTGGTAAATCCCGTTTTACAAACGATGATTCCACTGGATATATCTGAATCCTGCATGGTTTCAGAGAGTTTCATAACAATACCCTTGTTTACTTTTTTCTTCCAGTATTTGCATTCTATTGCCGTGAGCAATTTTCGCCCCCCGTCGAACTGCTCGGTCAAAACGTCTATCTGGTGTTTTACATTTGACTTTCCCTTGACCTTAAAATTTCGTCCACTTCCAATCACCTAAATCCCGTATTTTTCACCGAGCGCCCTATAGATATACTGTGTAATGGCTTCATATTCTTCCCAGTCAAGTTCGTTTTTTTGAGGCATAAATTTCAGATTAATGTTTCAGATCATTGCCCGCCCATAAAAAAAACATTT